CCTTATCTAATGAAAATAACCTACACGCCATATAAAGTACGTACCATATTTGCATGCAGTCGGTCAGGCATTAAGTATAAGTGTGTAAATGTGTGTGACTTTGTGTGCCTGTGTGTATGATAGCGTATTGTGTATTCAAGTTTGTGCAGGTGTGTGTGTGTAGTACGATTTAATTTCCCTCCATAATTAAAAGCGAAAAAGAAACCTCCGCGCGCACACATAACTACTAACTTCTCTCTATGTATGGAAAATAAAACCGTAAAAAGCCACTTGAATAATTTTTTTTTTTTTTTCTTTTTTTTCATTTTTTAAATTTAATAAAAAGCAACAAATTCAATAAAAAGAAAAAAAAAAGATAAAAGAATAAAATTTACTTTAGAAAAACTGAACAAGTGAATGAGCTTTCAATAGAAATGAAAACGAATTGTAAGCACAGTCTGCGGGCGCGACAAAGCATTTAATGAATCTTTGCAACTTCCTTAAGAAATTTGCTGCAAGGCGACAAAAGAAGCGGAGAACTTAGAAAAGGACAAATGAAGTCCTGCAGCAGTAAATGCATGAAAATAGATAAGGGCGTCAGTTGAAAGCAGGTTTCCCCCTCAAATATTTCTATTATCCCGACTGAATTTGCAGGAAATCTTAAATAATTATTAATAGTAATTTAATTCTTCATATTAATTTTATTAATTTTATTAATTATTAACTCTTTCAGTTTTTCGATTAGAAACCGATTTTATTTCAGGAAAAGTCTTAATCGATTTTCATGGCATAGCTTTAAACGTTTTTTTTTTTTTTTTTTTTTTTTTTGATTATCTTGTTTTATGACGAAGCAAACATCAACTCTCGCATATATGGAAATGAACTTAATATGCCGTCGTTTCTTTATGTATGAGGCCCGATATAGCGTAGCATACGGTCTAATAATGAACAAAACAAAAGACGATCAATGAACAACAATTGATGGACGACTTTTACTGCATGGTCGGTCAGTCAGGCATACGTTCATTTTATATGCCTGCACATTTTCGTATTCACCACTGGAAAACAGAGGCATAATAACTTCATTATTCTGTTCGTAATACTAAACATTCCTTACTCTTGTTTAGTGAGAAAGATTTTGAACCGCCTTAGCCAAATTCGTCTGCCTGTTATTGGGAATGTTGCAGTTGAAAAAATTTAGATTCTATAGCTCTCTAAAAAGAGCTTCTGAACTGACTTAGTCATGCCCGTCTACCTGTTATTGGGAATCTTGTAATTTAAAAGATTGAAATTCTAGAGCTCTTCAAGAAGCTATTTATTCGAGCACCAGCTGTTATTGGCAATCTTGCAGTTTCTATAACTCTCCAAGAGAAATTCTGAACTGACTTAGTCAAATCCATCTGCCTGTTATTGGGAATGTTCCAGTTTAAAAAATTTATATACTAGAGCTCTCTAAGAGAGATTCTAAACTGACTTAGTCATGGCCGTCTATCTCTTCTTCCACTAATTTATAAAAAAATTCTCAAGACGAGACACATGAATCTAAAAATAAGCAGATTAGTTTGCAGAGATGGAGCTTTTCCCCCATTTTAACCCTTCCAATCAATGAAAACTTCGAAAAGCTTTAAAGAACAATTCTTGCCGAAAATGCTTTCAGTCTATACGAGAGACTTAAAGTTCGACATGGAGAAACATCATCATAATTATCTCAAAAGTTCACTTTACAATGCAATCTTATCTTGTGTGGTGAGCATTCATGATTCGATTCGAAGCAAACATGATTTTTCTTACTTGCCTTTAATGATACATAACAATTTTTTTGTATTACTTGTCTTCAATGATTCACAACAATTCAAAGAAAAAAAAATTGTAAAATCTGTGTTACTATTGCGATTGCAATTAGATTGTTTATAGGTTTTTAAACACAATATTAATGTATGGCGGCCGGCTCCCCGCTTATCCCTTTCGTTCATTTTCAATTCATAAATATTTCATTAAAAGAAACGCAGAAAACAACAGGGAGAGTATCTGTTCTTCTTCTGTGGAATATCAAAGGAAAGAATTTTTTTTTTTTACTTTACGTAGCGAAGAACATAAAAAGTTCAATAGGTTTCGTGTAAACAAGAGGCTATCTGGGGCAATTGATTGCGCGATATGGACAAAAAGAAATTTTTATTGCTTTCATCAGTGCCTAGAACAACGTCATTTTGGATACATTAATTTTCCAAGATTTGTAAAGTGTTCAGACCGACAGACAAATCGAGGCGACACACATTTTAAGTAATAAGCAAAAGCTAAGTCAAAGAAATAAATTCGTAATTATTTCATCTTTTAGTTCGTACTAAACATGAATGAAAAAAACTTTGAAAGGAGAAGATTAACTTTAAGGCATTTAACGAAAAGTTAAAGTCTACAGCAATGATAAGCCAAACCGATTCGAAGGCCGCGAAAATAATTAAAAAAAGAATTAAGCGTAAGCAGAAACTCGGCAGAGCTAGATAGAACAGTAAATCAATTTTTGTGAAGACGTTACTAAGCTGAGCATAATCGTTCCAAAACAAAACAATCATAAATTAGCCGGATTTAACTTATAATCGAAAGCAAAAGGCCACTGAGTTAAAACGGGGAAAAAAAGAGGATCAATAATACATGCATCCAGAGTCTATATGAGATTCCACGAGACTTGAAAAAAATTTCATAGGAAACTAATAAATGCTTAAATACATAATCATCGTTACGACTAACATTTAACATTTAACTTGGTGGGAGCAAAAATGGAATGCTGAAGATACTCTTAAAAATTTAGAAATATTTCCCTTAACAACTTTTGCTCTATAACATATTTAAATGCAATAAGCAAGAAAATTCTATGCCACAATGCCTTCATCAATATCCAGTGCCTCGAAGCAATATGTTATAACTACAAAATGCCATTTTAAATAGGGCGTGTCCATTTCTACGCTAACCATTTAGCTGACCCGGGCCACTGTCTTTTAGATGATTATTTGCAATAGACTTTAAGTGGCAATTTTATGGCTATTGCAGGTGCTTTATGACGCTTTTCCTGTTTCTTGTAAGGATTTATACCGAATTCCAAGCCAATATCTCCTATGAGTTCCAAGTTTATGTTTCCCCTTTATATGCTATTCACGTCCATCTTTCAATTACATATATATGCAGAGTTTCAGTCCGCTGCCTCAATTCGGATTCGTGAGTTTTTTAACGAGGGAGGATGGACAGACAGCTTCAAATCGATACTGGATTTTCTTCTGGTCACAAACACACATATACAGGAATTCAATATAGAATGGTTCAATTATTTTGTCCTCACCCTTTCGTTTTTCGCTTCTTTTTCTCGAAATTATTCCAACGTCGAACTTTTCGTCTCACAAATTGTCGTCCGTAAGGCTTGTATAACTCTGTATAAGCAATCTTGTTGAGCCAATCAAGACCGACTACATTATCCTTAAATCCATCAATTTTTAATCCAAAATAGTTAATTAACATGGCATGGCACTGCACTGACCATAAAACCTTTGAAAAAATGTGTTTCTTACAAAAAACTCATTTTCATAGTAATTAATAAAGAAAACCAAATGTATTATTACTGATTAAGAAAAATGGGTAAACAGAACGTGAGCCAGTGTACAATCTAAAAAGCTGGAAAGACTGCATAAGCCACATGTATTCTTACTCTAGGCAAGCAGCTTATCTATCGCGAATCTGCCAATAAAAGGCAAACTAAATTGCATGTAAAGGAGTCGACAGACCCGTCTAATGACCGAACTGATTAACGAGATAAATATATTAAGAGAAATGTACATAAAAGCAACCGCCGGACGATTTCTTTTTAATTGAATTGAGTTGAATGTGATTCCAATTTAAACTTCATCATCAACAGATAGATGACTTTTTTTTTTCTTATTTAATAGAGAATGCATTTCATACGCAGCTAACTTGTAAGGTTTGTCTATGCATATATATTTACATGTAGATGAAATTTGCTCTCAGATTAAAACTCTTAAATCTCCTAATAGAGAACACTTTATGCCAAATTTACTGCAGTTGATGTGTAAACTTAACATTGTTTTTTTTTTTTTTTAATGATATTTGCTCTCAATCATTTTTGACTCTCCTCGATAAACAAACCTTTCTTACCATCTAACACTCTTCAATGAAACTCTGGATTCTTTTTAATGTTTTCATCATATTGTTGTTGTTTTTTTTCTTCTTTTTTTTACGATTTTGTGTGTTTCTTTCATAATAGAGTTTGTTGTTATATTTTTTTTTTTTGCTTCTTTTTTCTTTACAAATTATCTTGTATTGGTGTGATATATATATTTTGTTGTTGTTCTTGTTATTATTATTAATAAATGTGAGCAATAATTTGTTTTTAAATTAATTTTTAAATATAGATACGATTGCAATTTTTTTCATTATCGGTTTTATGTCGTTACATATACATATCGGTATATAATTTATACGGATATATAGGAGGTTAACAAAGCTAACTAGAGACTTAATATATAAAAAAGTTATTAAGAGCGCCTATTCTAACGAACACTAAGCTTATTCAAGTTTCTTGTCTTTTTGTTTTAATATTTTTAATTAACGTAATTTTGTTCCACTAGATTTTTAAAAACACAACTTAAGAAAAAAGAAGACTCATAAAGGTTTTTTTTTTTCTTTTTTCTTGTTTGTTTCTTTTAACTATATTCACATTCATGATTTCTTTTAAATGATTTTTGGGAGATTATTTTGCAGTTTCTGTTTTGAGAATATATTTTCGTTATTATTCGTCATTTTTATAATCCATGCAGATTGCCTGTAGGTTTTGAGTATTTTTATTCAACTATTTTTTATTTTAAAATGTTTTATTTGAAATAACTCGTTTTAATGCCCGAGCTTAGATTGCTAGCTTCCTGGGAAATGATAGAACTCTTTCAGTTACTAAAGATTTTTTCGTTTTTTTTTTTTTTTTTTTTTAGGTTTAAAAAAAAAAACCATTATAAAAATAAAAGTTAATAGTTTTGATTTTTTTTTTCAAGTAAATATTTAAACTTTAAAAAAAGTTAAGAAAGTAAAGTTAAAAAAATACTGCTATTCGCTGCTGTTATCGTTTTTTAAGAGCGTTTGGTTTTTTCTTTTCATTAATTTTCGCACTTAAAATAATCCTTTCTTCTTTTTCTCTTTCTTACCATCGGCGTTATCTGTGCTGCTGTTAGCACCCAAGCTGCGTCTTTTCAATTCCTCTAAGGTGATATGATTGGCTTCCTCCCACTCTTTGCGTTCGCGCTCAAATTCACGACGCTTCTCCTCAAGTTCTCGTACTTGCAATTCCAAGGCTTTTTTGCGCTCCTCATGACGTCTGGCTAACTCCAATTCTGAATCTTTGAGTTTTTGCATTTTCTCTTTGACTTTCATTTCAAAAACTTGTTCCATTTCTGCTTCCATTTTTTTCATTTTTAATTCATGTTCTCGCTTTTCTTCTTCCATCTGAGTCAAAGGATTTTTATTAGATAAACGAGCCTTGCCATCCGCCACGCCCAAAGCAGATAGTTTGCGGCAACGATAGTTCTCGTAGTGCGTGGTGTTAGTCACATCTTTCAAATCCTGTAGATGCGTTCGTATTATCATATTACGTAACGCTATGAAATCGCAGTGAGTTAAATTTTCCACTTCGACTAAGCCCCAAGGATAGCGGCGCCCTCTTACCTTTTTGCCATCAGCGGTCTCGACAATGGTGTTAGCACCCACTACCGCGAAAGGTACACGATTTCGCAAATTTTGATTTGTTTTCGAATCTTCGGCGTTATCTTCTATAGTTGAAGGGAAATCATATATCTTGATTTTATGCTGCGCTATCTCGTTAAGAATTTGTTTCTTGAATAAATGCACCTCGTCCGGAGTCATAGTGTCCGCTTTGGCTATAACAGGCACCAAATTTACTTTATCTGATAATGACTGCATGCAAGCTATATCGAGCGGACGCAAGCCGTGACCAGTGGGTCCAATGAAATACAAACAACAATGTACCCGATTATCAGGTATTTGCTTCCGATAAACCTGCGATTCAGCTGTTAAATATTCTTCGTATTTGCTATCCACATACTCCAGTATTGGAACCCAGCAATTCGTGTTATCTACACTATCCCCGAAACCGGGCGTATCCACTACTGTTAAAGTTAAATTAACGCCATTCTCTTTCATCAAGACTTTCGTAGCTTCTACACCAACGGTTTCTTTTTTCCTTAGAGAAGGTCCCGGATATTGTTCGCTGTTGTAGACATCCGTTAGGAACATGGAATTGATAAGAGTACTCTTGCCCAAACCACTGCAGCCGACCACCATTAAAGTGAATTCGAAGCCTCTTTTAACAGCCTTGCGATATACCTGATTGGGCAAATTTGCAAAGCCAACATAACCCGCTATTTCCATAGGCTTTTGACGCGCTGGTAACGGTGGCTTTTGCTTTTGCTGTTGCATTTGATTCTGTTGCTCTTTTTCTTGCAATTCCGTTGTCAATTTATTCGAATCGTTGTGGCCTGCACTATTCGATGACGCATCTCCGGATCCGTTCATTGTACTCATCTGATGTTGCTGTTGTTGTTGCTGCTGCAGAGAAGCCGCTTTACTCAGTACACTTGTCGGCAATGAGTGCGGAATAGGCGGCGGTGGCTGTTGCTGCTTATCCCTTAAAGCTAGCTGAGCCAATGTGCTGGGCAGTGATGATATGGCTCCATTAACATTTGTACGTGGACTTTGCATTTTCTTAAGTAAACTACTAATTTTTCCCTTCCTCTAAATTATTGCGCTTGTATACACTCTCAAAGACGCATAAATTCAACTCTTTACTTGAGTAAAAGCAATTTTTTTCTCTTTCTTTATAGTAATAGACAGCTTTTTCCTCGTGCTCTCCGATTAGTTAGCTATCTTAAATAATTCGCAGGCTGTTATTTATTTATTTATTTCTTCTTGGTTTAAATTTTTGTTATAGACAACTTTTAATTTTTGTCAAAATAAATTTCACATAAAATTCTCCAAAATAAACACAATTTTCATTTCTTCATGTCACACCTATTTTTCCTTATTCTCTTTGTTTTACACACAGGAAAAAATTTCCTTTTTTCTTTCGTTTACATTTAATATTTTTCGGTATTTTGTTATTTTCCACAAGCGTTATATCTTTACAATACAATGGCTTGCAATATTTTGCTTCTATTTAATGTGTTTTGTTAGTGTTTGCTCTCCAAACCTAAACGAAGTAAATCTCAAAGCCGAATTAATCTACTCTCTTTAGCTGTGAGTGTAAAAGAGACGTATATAAAGAATTTTACATTAAAATTACACAAGCTTGCTATAGCTATCTCTTCACAAGTCTCCATGAATATTTCTCTATAAACTGAGATGCACTCTTCTTCAAATAAATGTGTTGCATATGTTGAAATCGATATAAATATTTGGTGCGTTCTTTAATGAAGAAGATATTTTTTATGTTAATATAAATTATCTAAAATTAAATTTTTAATAAAGTCTAAGCAAATGTGGAAATTCTCCTTTTATTTCCAAAAATAAAAAAAAAAATTGTACTTGAATAAAATATAATGCCGAGAATAAGTAAATTTGCATAATATTGTGTACCTAGAACTCCCAATTCAACATATGTTACTGAGGTCATTTAGCGAACATCTGGTTTCTAAATTACCTTTACCGTAATGCTAATTATATTCCTAGAAAATTAATCGTATTGAATTTATATTTTGTACTATTAACGAACACGACAAGAATTGCATTAGCAATTTTTAATTGCTGCTGTAAATGCAATTTAACAATCACTTAACTTTTGTTCTCCCTATCTCTCTTCTTTACTTGCAGTATTGCCAGCACGATTTTTTTAATCTTTTGTACAAAAAGAAATAATTTTGCTTTATTTCACTACTATTGTTAAAACGCAAGTAAAACAAAGCAATTTATTTGGAAAGGTATTGATGGGCATTATTCAGGATATATGGACATTATTTAAAACAGTGGAATTAAAAATAATTATAAATACATATGATGAGGACCATTTAGTGATTCTTATATGACGAAATAAGATATAAAAATGTGTAAAAATAACATTCCGCACAGTCATGATATTACTGAGGCTAAACGTTCCAACGAACAGTAATAAATAATTCGTTAAAATTATGGAGCAGAATTAAGTGCTGCTTTAGATCTAACTCGTTCATATTACCGGATTTTAACAAGTTGATCTCACATTTTATTAAAAAGTAAACAACGAAATGCTTTGTCGCCGGATAACAAATGAGCTCACTAAAAATTTCATAAATAGAAATTCTTTTACCTTTATCCTGCAGCTGCATTTATATGTCAGGAAAATTCCCCAAAACGATCCGCTGGACTTCATATGATAAACTGATGGAAAGATTGACGACTTCTGCTTCATTTTATTTGACTCTCCATTTACTTTATTAATAAGACGTTTCTGAGAATAACATTTACTTTCCTGTACATTCCTTACGAAAACGCTAAAATAAGCTGAGAATAATAAAATTCTATTTCTGAGAGTAAAATGTACTTTGCTGCATATTTCTTATTAAGGTGATGTTTCGTAATTTTCATATAATTTTCCAATATATCTAAATTAAATTAATTGCATCTTTAAAAAAATGATTATTTCTACGATCTTTCCATATTTTTCTTATCTTCAAATTGAATGATATTTAATTTAGTCAAGTTTTCCTCTTTATTATTAGTTATTGTCTTAACTGGGCTTACCATTAAATTAAATAAGATATGCTAAAAAAGAAAATAATGTTTCATTGAAAATAAAAAATTAATACAGTTAGAATTTGATTACCAGAAGTGTATTGATTTGTATTCCCTTTTAGGTAATCGTCAATTCTTACACGGTAGGTACAGCGTCCATTCTCATTCATGTGAATTCTTTATTTTTCTACTTTTCTATTTCTTTTTTGTTGCCAGTAAAAGAGTTTTAAAAGAAAATCAAAGTTTAGTTAACTTTAATTAACTTTTGTAAATAAATTAATAATTGGCTTAGGTTAAAATATTTTATTATTGTGAGTAAAGAAAATATAAACGAAACCAAAAAGAATAAAAGTGACTAAATGGCATTCATATTTAACAGGCTAGGAGTGTGCGAAAAGTCAATTCACGATTTGTGTGTCAAATAACATTACTAGCAACGTTAACTGCATACTAATAATGGAAGCATTTTTTTTCGTTTCAAAGTAGAAAACATTTTTCTGTTAAAATTCTTTGTTACTCAACATCGTAGCAATCAGTATTCATTATTTTATATAAAAACGTATACATGAAATCTTATAGTCTATAATAATTTAATTTGAATATGGGATCATTTCTCGTTGGCGCCGAAAATTCAACCGCTACTCTTGGGGTTGACTTGCGATATTTTTGTCAATAGTTTTTGACGATTTAAGTTGTCAAAGTAGCAGCAGTTACAATAGATAATGGAAACATAATTGCTTTAAATTCGTTACGGTCGATTTATTTATAACGCTACTCTAATGAGCCAATTTTCATGACATAATGTATGTTCCTTTAATTTAATGTGAATACCTGTCCATAAAACTTCACCTCACGACGTCCGATGACGTGCGTGTTAACCGTGCGTCACCGATATGCTTCAACAAGTTAGACAATCCCTATAAACTAGGGACCCCAACTGCAGCTGGAGTACAATATTATTTCTATAATAAACCCATTCTGGGAAATGTTGATGCCTATCGTTACCTCTGATTATTCGCTGTAAGAATGATGAAAACCACAGCCATCACGAGACTCCCCGGAGGGCCGTACCCAGCAGGTAGGACTCGCTATCACAACTATAAGATGTAATGTGAAAAACTAAACATTTTTACTATATGAAGATTCAATGTTCATCAGAGCGTTTATATAAGATAAGGTTCAAAAGGTTGCCCCAGCCGATTCAAACTTTTCATAGGAAGTTAGAAGCTAGAAATACTATTATACAGAGAGTTTTTGAAAATTTTGAAAATTAAAAAAAGTGGTTCGAACCGTTCGTCCGAAAACACGTCAGTGTATCAAATTTCATCAAAATATCATAAAAATTGCATTTAGAGTTGTCTGTGATACCCTTTCCGCTGACATTTCACTACCATTTCTTTCGAACCAAAATCGCTATACGCACAACGAACATCTAAAGCTGCCATGCTGATGGGGCATTGAGATCACCTTCCCTTTCTAACAAGTGCACATCACAAACTTACTGCCATATGCTACTGCTCCTCCTCGTTTTAACTAAATTTAGTAATATTTCCCTTTTCTTTCATTATCATTATGCGGTAAATTTTGGAACCAGCGCACCCGTAGATATTCGTAGATAGCAATTGGACTGAGCACATTTTCTTCAATCTTATCATGTGGCACCCAAACACCGAACTTTCTTTTCGCCAAATTTTTGTTAATCTGCGTTCAGATCGAGGCTAACAATGTTCCTCTACTTTTGTCGTAATGTTTAAGACATTTTTCTCTTTAAAGATTTGGACAAGGAATTAGTTTTTAGGTTTACCTCAATGATTGGTAATTTAAGTTGATATATTTAAACAAGCTCTTCTCATAATATATTCGGTTACGCGTAATGTTCACATCCTGCATGCATAGAATAGATTTTATTTGATCCTTGATCTTCTCAATCAATCTTACAGTCAGTCTTCTTCTGTCTACTTTTCAAATTCGTTGGATATTTATTAATGTCATAATTTTGTCTACTAAGCATACTTATCTCCCCTCTTTTTACATTAGCATTATTGCGTCACTTAGGTCTTATGAATCTTGTCTTAGCTTTGACGAGCGCATTTACTTAGAGACAATTCGCCTCATTTACATTATCCTCCCCCTATAATCTTGGTTTTAGGTTACCGTTTGTCCCATGATTGTCATAATTATTATGATTCTCCCTTCTACGCAAGTGTTGCAGCTCAATAACATTCCCATAGTATGATGATTGTATTGAAAGATTTCGTGGTCTTTGAAAAACAAAACAAATAAATAAATACCGATATATTTAAAATAAATACACAAACATTCCCATAGTTGTAAAGGATTTTTAATATACGTAAATAAGGGCGTCTTTATTTCGCGTCCGTTGTCCTTTAAACGTGCTCTCTCAACCGTGCCAAAAAAAAAAAAACAAAACTTTCTTAAGTTCCTTCCGCATAACGCGGTTTGTGTTTTTCAGCGTCGCAATGTCCATATAAGAACAACTTTGGTGGTGAGTTTGCCGTCGTCATCAAATGGTTGCCTTCCCCCTTTTGCACGTGGTTTCAAATATGCCTGCATACGCATACATTTACCTTTACAAATGTGATCGTGAGAAAAAGTTTTCACTCGTATTGAAGACTTTTTACCTTGTGTGCAAATGATGAATTGCGTGGTGATCCTTAAAAGTCTGTACGCTAACAACTACCAATGATCTTTTGTTTTTATATGGGTGATGTGTTGGTGGTAACCACTCTACAGGAATGCATTAAAAGCCTCTACTGTACTTCTAACAACGTTAGGGGTGGTAAAGGTAAACGTTAAGATAAGGGTATAAGTAAAGGTAGTTGAATTTTACAAGCATCTATTATGCTTGAAAAGCAGTAACCTTTACAGGACGTGGGAAAAGTTTCATTGACTTTAAAATTCTGAGCATGTAGAACAAATGAAAATGAAAATTATGGTTAGATTTTTCTTAATTTTTTCCACAATAGATAAAATACTTAACTAACTACTCTAAGGTATGCTACAACTCTGGCTCTCACCCCTGTTCCTTGCGATTTTAGTCGTACTTGTAAAAATACTACAGCATTACAAAGATTGAGCATCGTATTAGGCAAATAAAATATTTCTTGACCGTCAAGGCCATCTTTTATCGACCAAATCATTTTCAATTTGTTATGGCTTTGAGGAGTTTACGACAGCAATGAATGCATGTGTTGCTACAATTAAAAGTCAATGCAATTGACACGCAATTAAGATGAAAGAATTTGCACAGAGTGTGGATATTCTGAGATTTGCTGGAATAAATTTGAATATCTGCGCAACAATGTCAAAGATGAAGCTTGGTTTAAAGCAAACAAAGTTAAGCTATCCTAATAAAAGTGAAAATCAAGTGAAAATGACGTAAGCGTTTTCGAGAACAGTACGACGGATTCTTCTCTTCTGGAAGTACGTAAGCATGGAAGTGCATGATCGAAACAATTCGTAAAAGTTGGAATTTCTAAGAATATTTTTTTTTTTTGCCCAAAAACCGATCATCATAGGAAATTGAAGTATTTCTTACAAAAATTAAAGATTAGCTGAGAATTTTCGCTAATTATTAAAATATTGCGATCTCGGCAGCGATGAGTGCGAATTGACATTTTTATTATTCCTTACGAACAACAACACTTTTATTTTCACAAATTAGATCGCACAGAATAGCTATATATAGCCGGTTATTATTATTATTAATTTGGCCAGAGAAATTAACTCTTAAACTAAGCCCTTAAAGCACTAGCATCTAAAGGCTATCGGCTTTTATTAAAAACTCTACCGTACTTGGCATTCGAACCCAAGACCATTGATTTACTAGTCGAGATTCCTCGCTTTCGGCCATTCAGGCGGTTAATGGTTAGCTGGTTAACTAACACGACTGTGATCTTAATTCGCTGGCGAATAAAATTAAAAAATTCCACCAGAAACGGGATGAGGCATCGGTGATAATCATTGGATGCCCTTAAGAGAGTCAGCCATTTTTGGGTATCAATATGCGTAACACACACTTCACGATTATGAGTATAGACTCGGAGTGATTGGTTCGTAAGAAAAAGTCTCCGTCGAAGTTAGCCGGAAAATAAACGGAAGCATTAGAGTCTTTTAAAAAATGTCATAAAGAATAAGGAATAAGCAGTTCAAACTTATGCTTCGAAAAATACCGCAAGACCGATTTTAAAAACTGGGAAAGCAACTAAATCTGATTAGTATACAACAATAATGAACAATCCTTCATTATGTCAGGGCCAGCTCTCTTAAACTGCCGGCAACATCCAGCCCCATATATCTTAATTGTCATAAATGTGAAGCTTAGGTAAAATTAATACCTGTAAGCCGTAAGCTTTCTAGTTAACTAATTCGCTGCGGAAAACATATTATGAAAATGAATGAATAGTTTTTGAAAAAAAAAAATTATTAAAAATTGATTTTAAAAATGAAATATTTATTTATTTTAATAGCTTAATAACTTAGTACAATCCACGTATGCGGTTTGGCTCATGTTTTCTAAGTAAGCGGAATT